CCAGAGTGCAGACCAAGGCCCTGCAGATGATCACATGCTGAGTAAATGTTGCCAGCCAAGTAATGGTTCCTTTCTGGGTAGTGAGTTGCTTCACAGCACAGCCCTCATAAACATTAGTTTGGTGAGCTGCAGAACTGGTAGCATCTGGCTTCCCTTTGTGTCCATGTCATTCCCTTTGCGACTTGACATTCAGTTGTGTGCAAGCCTGAACAGAAGCTGTCCTCTACTTGGGGTGTTCTCAGGCATCTTAGCCAGTGTGGAAGCAATGCTGCTCTGTGTCTCTCCTATAACCAGCTGCCTATTTCTACAAAGTGCATAGAAACTCATTCATTTGAGGGTTCTTTTATAAGTGGTCAGCTTCTCCATCCTTCACCTTTAAATCAAGCCCAAATTCTAGCAATTCTTGCTTCAAAACAGCCGTCTTGGAGTATATGAGTGGTCTTTTTAAATTGACTGAAAGACAGGAGTGCTCACATCCTTCATGCCAACTTATCTCTACCATGGTAGCCAGCTACGCCAATCAGTGTGTTTGTTAAAACAACTTTCATGGGGTGAATCTCATCTATTTTTAACCATGTGAAAAGGAAGTGTGCGCTCTGCATTAGCTACCTAATCTTCTACAAACACAGCACAGGTGCTACCAAAGATGATTCAGCCTACCCTGATGCAGGTACTTTTAGAAAGAGAAAGCTGATCTCTCTCTCTGCTGATTATGAGGCAAGGTTCTGGCTATTTCGCTGCAGAATCCAGTAGGTTTTTGGTGCTCCTTGGTCTTGTGGCATACACTTCTTGACTTTGGATACAAGCAGGAATGAGTCAAACCAAGAATCCTTCAGAGTCTTCTGCCTCAGATATGAGACCCCTTGGTGTATGCTGAGGCCACAGCTTCTGCCTTCTCAACAAAATTAAGTGTCTTAACTGGCACCTTGGTGCCATCAAGAAGTGCTGAGGCCTGTCCTTGGCAGTTTGCTTTCTCTCTCCACTCCTAAGTTCCTTGATTTTTGACCACTTTGCCTTCACACCCTCTTGCTTTAATGTTTTATTCTCTCTTGTAATCCCTTGATTCTTTCGTGCTTTCATTTATCTTAGCTGCCCCTTTCTAGACAAAGCTTGAGAGCTTTTTCGGATTAGGTTAGTTGTAAGCTAATAGCGTCTGAAAACAGATGCCTAAACGAATATGTAAGAACAAGCTAAGTATGTATAATGCTTCCTTCAGGTATCTCAAGCATTTACAATACAAGAACTCCCTAAATCTGCCTTTCCAGACCTTAGGGTATACTGGGATGATTGGACTTCGTGTTCCCTGATTGTTACTGAAGAGAGACTGCCTGAAGAAGAGAGCATGCTGGCAGAGCCCCACCTCATCTGAATGACTTGAAGAAGCCAGAGAGTTGTGGAGCTGGGATGAGTTCCTTAAACTAGGCAACAAACATTACAAATGCCAAGCCATATGCAATATCACTCCACATAATATGTAAATTGAAAAAAACAGATGTTGCTGTCATTACGGTAGAACCAAATATACATAAGTTATGGTTTCTGCAGTCATTAATCAACCCGCTTCTGTGTATACATTCCAAGAAACGTGCCAGACATCAACTTCACCTGGGAGGCCTCCACCTGTGGCGGAGCTGGGGCTGACGGGTTTCCTGGCTTTGTTGTGCCTGAAAGACAATGATCATCTGATTTGTCTGGTGTTCTGCATCATCCACTGGGTGCTAAATTTTGTGCGGCAAATTGAACCGGCAGTGCTATAGAAGAGAAAATATAATGACAAATCAAAATAAACTATATAAAATAGCACTATATATAGACAAAATAAACTGTAAGGATTACAGAGCAGCTCCTCTGGCTGCCATTTGAGTGAGATGAAAGGGATCATCAAGGTAGTGGCTTCTGAGTTTTGCCCTTGATTGGTTATCATCTCTTCCAGAAATTACCATGCACAACTTAAGTTCTTTCCTTTCATAAACCCAGAAGAACACCGTCTGCTATTGGCCAGCGTTAGCAACAGGATATTATTATATGAGAAAGGATTTTGGCCTACTGTTCTATTTTTCTGCTTGAACAAAAAAATCTTAAGTGGTTATAAAAGAGCTGAATGGGATTATACTGAGATGCTGTCCACTGCAGAGAGGTCTATGGATTTAGCTTCCTTTAAAAGTGTTCTTGGGGATAGGATCCACACTTTTTCCTGATCAGACAACACTTAACAAGTGTTACAGTTTTTTGTGAACTCAATAAATCACGAAACTGATAAAAATTTATAGTATGTAGGGTTTATGTGTATGTGAAATTACTTCAACACTTCCTCATTTTGTAAATGAACACCAGAATATCAGGAGCCTAACATTTACAAAAGAAAATAGCTCTGACTACTGCTAGAATCTGCTGTTTCCCTCCTATTAGCTAGCTGGGAAATCACTATGGCTGTGATTTTGAATATGGGCTACAATTAAACGTACACATGAAAAGTATCTTTGCTTTCATTCCAATACTAAAACCAGCTTTTTTGATGATTTTTTCTTTTTTAATGTACAGTTAAAAGTAAATGTGGTTACAGATAGTACTGACTTCAAAAAAGCTTTTGTGGAGAGGCTCAGCACAGAGACTCATTGGCTGCTTGTAATGCAACAAATTGCTCTTTCCACAACCCACAATATTTATAGGCCTTTCACCATTTACAGTGATTTACTACTGTGTTTGACCTCTTTTCCAAAGCTCTACAGCTACAAAACAAACAAAAAAAACCCAAAATCAAAACCCAACAACAACCACCACCACCAAAAAAACCACCAAAAAAACCATGAAAAACAAACAACACCCCAAACAAAAATGAAATCAGGGATTTAAAATAAATTTCTTTTTTTCTCTTTGCTGTTTTACCTCTCCTTCTCCATTTCCATATCTTCTCGTTTTCCTGGGCTCTTTGTCAGCCATCTGTGTTTAGGTAGCTGTGTCTGCCCTGCGCTGCTTGCAAGGACTCTGCTAAGAGATCTGCTCAGTCTTCCCTATTATCAGGCTGTTTAGGGAAGTACACAGTCTGCTGTCCTGTGTTCTGTGACATGTATCTACTTTGTTCCTCAGTTTAAACTTTGAAACGGGTTTGCGTATGCATTCCAGGAACAGCACATTGTTCTAACTGGTAACTAAAATACGTGATTCTCCTACTTTTGCTGGAGTTGCTTCCTCTTAACCTTAAAGCTGATTTTTGTTAATGACTTTTTCCTCTCATGGAAACATGCTAAATAGTCTGGCACTACAGGTTACATAGAAAAGCAGATGAAGAGGTTTGACATTTCACAGGAAAAAGAGGTCTGTAGATTTATATCAATGTGCTTCATTCACTGTTTTTCTGTTCTTGATTTTTTTAAACTCTGAAAATAATAATTATGCATCCTTAGGAAGGAGGTAGGTAAGTCTTTTTCAGCAGTGAGCAGTCCATTGAATCGCAGTAGCTTATCTTTTGTCCTAGTGTTTTTTCTCATTAAAAGAAAAAATATTAATCATCCGTATATAGCAAAATTGGTTAAACCCCCCTTTTGCTAGATTACTGTGTGTTGAAATTAAATTAAAAGCAGGGACGAAAATTAACACCAGGGATCGAGATGGTTTACTTTGTTCTCTTATTCCCACTCCCACGTTTATGTTTTTGTTTGTTTATTTTTAAGGATAAAAATCTTAAAATTCACAGGAGATGGGCAGCTTTCTTCCTTTATTCAAAGCCCGACTTCCATCGTGAGAGCTGTGCTGCCTGCTGGACTTGAAGGATATGGGTTCTGGTCACAAGAATGCAAAGCAGTAATTTACTCTGTTTTTTCTCCTTTGTGCCCTGGAGTTTAACCAGCACATTAGACTAATATTTTCTTGCTTGCTAGTGGCAGTTTCTGTTTCTTTTTGTTTTGGGGTTTTTTTGGTAGTGGAAGTCATTAGAGTTTCTCCCAAGAGAATCACTGCCAAAGTAAACAAACATCTTCATGAAAGGAAAATAATGTCTGTGGAGTATTCAGAATTCCATGTTTTACAGACGAGTATTTATGGCAACCAACTAGTGAATTAAAGTGAATGAAATCCTATTTCTAGTTTGCTGCTTCTGCTGTGCTAATTGAATGTGGCAATTTCTGCTAGCTTCTCAGCTATGCAGTGCAAGTGCTGAATGTTAGTTGTAATTTCGGATGAAGGAAAATATGGACAAAACTGAGTTGAGAAAAAGGGTTTTCTTTTATTTTTTATTGTCGGGAATTGAATAGTGCATGTAAACCTCCAAGGAACTGCTGTTGTCTCTAAAATGTTCTGCATGTGGTTGGCAAGAACAACAAGGACAGAAGAAAGTTCAGCTAAAAAATTCATAAAGGCTGTGTCTGGTGGAATGCATTACAGTCAGCTGTATACCTCTATGCTCTTATCCCTCTGAACTGATAATTTTTAGCTGAGATGAAACGTTCTGAGGAACAGGAGGCGGGCAGATTTGCAGTGTAGATTGTTTGAAGGTTTAAATACTGTGACTATCTCATCTTACTATAAGTCTGTAGATATAATGTAAGCTGGAGTTGCTGAAAAGTGATAGAATGGCTCATGTGTACAGCCTAAAAAACTGTGAAGACCTTATTTTCTGTGTGCCTCAGAATCCTGTACACTTTCCACCTACTGTCCAGGATAGCACTAATTCACCAGTGGAACAGAGACACTTCAAATTTGTTGAGGATGAGACCATATCTAGTTCTTTGTTTAGGCAGTGGCTTTCACAAAGGGGACCAGTGCTAACTGGGAACTGCTGCCAACACCATCATATGTTTCATGACAAATGCAAAGTGTTCAAAAAGTTGGCACTACAAAATAGAGATACTGACAATCTCTGTTTGATTCTCAAAATGGCTTGTAAGGTTTTAAAGCTTGCATTGTTGCTGGTGCACTTGCATATCAGATAGTGTTTTTATCAGCCCTTATAACATGGCTGGTTAATGTGATTACATTACTAGAACATAACTAAAATTCTAAGGATAGAGGATGCTAAGGATTTTACTGCTGTTTTTCATATGCATTGTGAGCAGAAGAGTTTGTATAGCAGTTTGTGCAGCCATAACCAGAATGCAGTATTTTCTCATTTCCTTTTCTGTGCACTGTGCAGATGCAGCTGCTGCTATTTACCAAACATGAAGATGTTTTTCACAGCTCTGGGAGTAAGTTTGAGTTCTTCTTTAAAAAATGCATGAGACATGTCTAATAATTGCATGAATGTTCAGCATATATTTAAGTACCTCAATATTGTGGTGTAGGAGGCACATTGAAATTTTAAGGAATGATCTCAGTGATCATTGGATAGCTCTCCAGAAACTCGTATAACTGAACTGTGCTAAGAATAACTGTATGGTGCTTCCAGTGATGGAATAATCTGTTCTGAAGGCTTGTATACTCTAGTCTGGCCATATGCAGGAGACAAGGTAGAAGACCCAAGGAGACTCTGGAAATTTTTGATCAAGGAGGCCTTGAAGTAGTATTCATTGAATCCTGTAGGTAGCCCTTATCGCAGATGCAGCAGGAGGAAGCAAATGTGTCTGCCCCTCTGTAGGACTGTACAGAGGAGTATATGTTTGTACCCTAGTAGTCTATTAAAAAAGTGCTTCAAATTGCTACAAGAAGGTTTATTAAAGTATACTTTTTAAATTCTAAAAGGTGATAGAGGAACAGCTTCCCCTTCTGAGCCATAGCATCTGTGTTGTATGAAAAGCAAAGGCAACTTCTCTGATTTATATGTGAAAATATATCCTCTTGTACTTGACCTTATTTTCTCTGTGACTGTAAGATGGATTCTCACTAATTTTACACCACCACCCACTGTTTCAATAAAATTATTTTAAACAGATTCTGTAAGCAGTACAGACTTCAGATTCAGCATAGAACTAAAATTAATCGGTCTAGAGTTGAAGAAATGCAGATTAAAATTTAAAAATCCATTAACCATATCATTGTGATTAATTATGATGATATGTCTAGTAACCAAGGTGGGGTCAACAACTCTGGGCTGGCCATTGATATATCAGACCTAAGCTAGTCAGGGAGCAGCCAGCTTGCTTGAGGGTAGGATGCTCACCTTCTCTTTTGCTGGGAGCATGTGCCATCTTTTAAGAAATGCTCCAGCATCCATGGCTGGAATGAGACTGGCCCAGCAATAAGGCTGTGCCTCTGGAGGGGAGAAGGGGCAGGCCTGGAGTTGAACTTGGCTCTGCCATACAACAAATTAAAGCTTTCTCAATACTTAGCTGTTTTTAGTCATGCCCCAGCTGCCTTCCCACCCCTGACTTTTTGTTTGGTTTGGATTTTTTTAACATACTAAATTATACTTCTGATCAGTGCAGAGCAACTGTACTGAAGCTTTCACTTATTTTCCTGCTGGTCTCCCTCTTCCTAAATATTCCTAGCTATAGCTGGGACTTAGGAAAAAGAAGTCTTGAGTCCTCTCATAATAATTTACATCTCTGATCTAATGATCAATTGTAAATCAATGTTAAGCTTCATGACTTTTGACCGTGCATGCTATTATGATGATACAAAGACACTGATAAGCAATATGCTGATTTCACCCTCTATATTTTGGTTACTAAACCATACTATCCATGTAGCTCTTTCTTAATGTACAACATTTTTAATAATTTTAAAGAAAAGAAATCCTAGAAAAATCCCTGCCAAGAAACTACGTAAAAATTAGATGAATTAGAATATTAATGTTACAATATTTTAGAAGTGCATTAGCTATAAAAAATAATAAATTGAAACCAAGAAAATGTAGTGAAAATATTGCACTTCAATAAAATGAAATACATTAAAAAAGAAAACACAGATTAAAAGCCATCCAGACAACCTTAATTTACTTCTATAATGAGAACCTGAGGGAACTGTGGAGATAAGTTTACTTTATTTCAGCAGACTCTAATGTTTTTAACCCTTTATGCACAGTTTTACTTAAAAGGTTGTTTGGATGCCTTAACCATTAGCTCCTCTATCTTCATATGTTTAGCTTTTATGTAAGTTAGATAAAACTTACAAAATCTAACTGGATTTCAGATCTCAACACTGGAAGTTGCGCTTTCTAACCCTATAGGTACAAGTTGAAGGAACTAGAGTTACAGCAGATCTATTATGTTCATCTTTTATATATTGAGTACAAAACCTACAGTAATTCTGTCATTTCCTCTCTCATTATGGCATTGAGAGCTCAGATCCCTTTTTATGCAGTGGCACAAACCAGTTTGCTGCTTAAGTGTAGCTTACAGAAGCTGTTTTGCAGAACTGATAAACACATGCCACAAATCAATTGTACCCATGATATTAAAAGGGAAAATTACCCAGATCTTTAAAAATTCCCAAACCTTGGTAAATAACCTTGAATAATTGTGATATCATTTCAGGTCAATGTTCTTTGACCACTGGCCAGTCAAAATGAATCATCCAAGGAACCTTTGTTTTCATAGTTGTAATATATTTTTTTTTTGTGCATGCTTATATAGTATGTTGTAACTGAAGAGCAGAAAACCTCATAATACTTCTACATTAGGAAATTGAGGGACTTTTCCTTTATTTTTTTCCTCCCAAATAACCTTTTTCTTTCAACATTGAAAGGTCTTCTTTATATAAGAAAATTTACCAGAGACTATAGTGGTATAATTATACCTTTTGGATGCTTTTTAATCTTTCATGAATGCCTGTAGAATTCAAGCGTCCACATGGGGAGTTATACCATCAGAACTATAGGGGTGTAATTATGCTGGTGAATTCTTTATGGAGACAAATGCTTCATGAAAGGGAATTTTATTTTGGCTCTTCACTTTTCAGCTTATTTATGTTCTGAACTAAAAGGAGTTGATCAAATCAATGAAAAACATGAAAATTCATTGATTGCCAAGGGTTGGGGAAATTAGAAAGTAATAAATATATACATTTCCTGATAACACTCATGTGCATTTTTGTTCCTATTCTCTCGCCAGTGTTTGAGTTTGTGAGTTTAGTGAAAGGTTAAGAAGCAAGGATTGTTCTTTGCAGAGCCTCATAAACTAATATGCCCAATAGCTAAACACTGGTAGAATATTAGAGATTCTTAGCTCCCATAAAAGTATCTGGGGTTTCAGGCAAAGAGGACACTGGAGAATTAGTCGAATACTTTTTAGTCTTGGTATGACTTCTGCACCTACCACCAAGCAGATAAGCCACTGGATTTTCTATATGTGAATTTTCCTATATCCCAGTTAAATTGTAGTTCCTTAAATATGCGAGTCCTTCGACAGTAGTCAAAATGTTCTCTACAAAAGTAGTCTATTTACATGAAAATAACTTTCAGTATGTCAGTAAGGGTGTAGTAACACTAATAATTATTTTCTAAATGTGCTTCGAGTGAATTACAAGTTTGTCTCAATGTAATTGCTGCATAGACTTTAAGACAAAAAGAGCTCAATCATTTTGATGATGTAATCCAGTCCAGCCGTAGCACTGACCACAGAGCATTGCTCTGTGTGTCTTGCTTGAAGACTAAGGTGAACTTCATTAGAAAGATGTCTCATTTATATTTAAAGAGTTCAGAGAACAAAGAGTCCACCACATCTATATCAACATCACTGTTCAGGTGAAGTGTTTTATTTGTGGTCTGAATTCAGCTTTGACTTAACTTGTTCAATCTTTGCTGAATTAAAAAAGCCTTTAGCACTGGACAGTATTCAATGAAAATACTTAAAGGCTGGGATCAAGGCACCACAGCCCTCTTTAGTTGTTAAGCAAATCTCATTGAGGTGCTTTAGTTTCTAACCGTAAGGCAGGATTTGTGTATCACCAGTTTTTCCTGTAGTTTCAAGTTTTCAAACATCCTTCATGAGTGAGGACATTAGGGCTGTCAGCAATGAGAGAATTACAGCATGAGCTGAACAAAAGCACCATCTCCCCTTGCTGCTTTTGAAGCATGGAGAAATTTTGGTTTTTCATATTTCTTGTCACAAGCCCTTTGTATAAATATACACCTTATAAGGGCCAGGGCCTTCATTGGATATCATGTTTTTTCAAGGTAGGCTTACTAGAGGGATGCAGCAAGGTGATACATTGCTGTGATAACCAGAATATTTGGGTTTGTCCTGGGTAATGTTGCACGCAATGGTAGTGCTTTTCTCCTGCTTCATATTCTTTCTCTCTGTGAAGATTTCTTTTACAGTTGAAAATACAGTCTCCATTCTTGTAAATAGTGTTTGATTTTGTTTCAACATGCGTAACCAATTTTTTTATCATTAATGAGGCATACATCAGTTATGTGGGCATGAATTAAAGTGGGTTATGAGGAAGCATGACTGTGCCATTTTCTTAATTTCCTACTTTTCACCTGTAAAATTTCCTGGTACTGATTCTTTGTTTTCATCAAAGCGTGGCCCTGTATGTTCACCCAATACATTAACCCAAGGTAATGAGGAGAATTAGTCCAAAAAGTCTTTCCTGTGAGCTCACTTCTGAAACATTGCAAATGGAAGAATGAGTCTGGTTTTGGCTACCAGTAGGACTCTGTATGTGATCTGTTTTGTAATTAATGCAGTCTTTGCATAGTGTCATGCAATGGTTAGGTAAGTGTTTTAGAAGAGTACAAGTGTGTGGTTTTGCAGTTGTACCCCATCTCTCTGAAACTGTTTCAGGCCTGCTGTGCAAGCAGACTGAAACAAAATAATTGAAATATCCTTTCAGTTAGAAATAGTTTTCCAGTCCTCAGCTGTTCTCTCCAGAGAAGGCAGTGCACTACTCATGGTAAAGGCTTAACTAGACTATCTGAGGAACTTTTTTGATCTCTTGAAAATAGTGAGATCAATTTTATTGTGGGTGTGTGGGTGTGTGTAAGGGGCAGAGCACTGTAGACATGCACAGAAAAGAGAGCAAGGAAGACCATCAGCCTGAGGTCTACTTTAATGTGACCCTTAGAAAGAGGTGCTTGAAGCTGTGAGTAAGGAAACTGTCTCCTGCTGTTAACTTCCTACTGTATTGAAGGAAACAGCATATAATATATAGGGTTTGTATGTAAATAGGATTGCATTGAATAAATGCCTATCAACAATTCAAGGCATAACATACAAGACACCAAAAATCAGCAAATTGTTTGTATTTATGTTTACTGACAAAGTTTTTATCAGTATCTTAGAAAGCCCTCAGTGAAGGTGGAGAC